CATTCACCAAGTCTCACCTTTCTTTCATCTGAATATTGGTAACACATGTAGGAATATTAACTTGGTCAATGTTGTTATTTTACGGTTTCAATAAATTAATAAATTAATTAGAACATTCCGTAATTACCAATTACAATGTCGCACGTTCCAAATGGAAAATGTAAAATCAATGAAACCAAAGATCGTTCTATGGAATTACCTAATTGTTACATTACAACTTCCACTAAGAAATTAACAATAGAAAATTCTGCAGAATTTATTTGTGCGACATTGTGGAAATTTAAAAAAAAACTATATAAAAAAGCAAAAAGTAAAACTTTCAGAAAAAACTTTCTTTAATATAACAACAATAACAACATTTTATTTTCTAATATTATTAAAAAAATGAATGATTTATTATTATTACCAGTTGAAGTTTTAACGATGATCTTCAAAAATGTAAAATTTCCAATCTCGTTAACCTTGACGTGCAAGTTTTGGCACAAAATCTCAAAGGATCCACACTCGAGAGCCGAATGGTTGATAGAGCATTATGGTTCACATGCTTTGGCTTATGCTATTAAATTTGGTCCTGACTTTATTAGCGTTGGATTGGTAGAATGTTTGCTTGCCAAAAATATTATTTTATCGCAATATCTTATGCAAAAATTATCTTCTAATGTTGGTAAATCCGATGAAAAATTAACCAAGCTGAGAAATAATAATAATAATAATAATAATAATAATAGCACTACCAAAAATATTTCCAAAAATTGGGGATCTGACATTCCGTTAGATGTATATATTTACTTGTTGCAGAAAGCAAGTTCAATATGGAAGTCTAATTTACATTTGAAAGGAAATGATATGCAAGTCTTTTTTTACTTGTCAGGCGGGGATCTTCCAATCGATCAAGCGAAAATCAAAATGAATGAAAATTTATCAAAAATCGAGGATTTGATCTTGAAAAACAAATTTATACCATTTCCACAACGGCCAAAGCAACAAATCAACAACATTATAAAATATCAGGAAAATTTAAAACTTAAAAGTGTCGAAAAAAATCATCATTGTCTAAATGATGGTTATGAAAATAACATAATCTCAAATATTATCCCAAGAGCAATTATTCTCAATCCTAGATTAGTCACATTATGGAAAAATAGTGGATACAAAGATGTTTGCCATGATTACAATGATTTAGTATTAAAAGCAACTTATCTCACATTATTTCCACCAACTATTTTCAATAAGAATGATACTAATATTCCAGATTTAACTAAAGTTGTTTCAAGATTGAGGGAATTTGTCAATTTGGGGTTTAAATTAACCAAACTAGTCATGGGTGATGTGTTGCTATTATTTGAAAATGAATTATCGATAATCGGTGAATTGATCTTGAAATCGTTTCAAATACTTAAAAATGAAGATATACGACAAATCTTGGAATATTGTTTGATTCAAATCCTCAAGCCTGAAAAAGGTCTAAAAAATTTAACCGTTTTAGAATTCTTGTATGAAAAACTTGAAAATCCCGAAGAAAGTTTCCTGAAAGTATTAAATACATATAACATAGGGAATCAATACTGCAATTGTGATCGTGATTGTGGTCGTTATCGTGGTGATAATACTGATAGATTTATAAGATTATTTTCATTGAATTTAAGTGTTTATTCCTGGATATTCAAAAAATTCGGATCTGACTCTAGAGTTACGTCGAAATGTTTTGATGAAATCCTATTGGCTAGATATTATATGAACTCCCAATCAATATTCACACCTATTAAAATGGAACAAGATGAATCATTAAGGACCATTTTTGAGACTTTCGATAGACTGTGCAAACAATTCTTCTTCTCAGAAATTCCCTATAAAACTTACCATTTGAAATATCTGATTAAATCGGATGAATCTGTTTTGTTGAATCAATTTTTCCGGAAATTTCTACCAAAGTTATTTAAAATTAAGAAAAACAGCAAGAATTTAATATTTAACACAGAGTTACAAGTTAATTGGTATGAAAAACTGTCAAAAGTAAAAAGTTATAATGATAACGATAATTTATTTGAAAAACAGTTTAATCAATTTGGTGAAAAATTAAATAATATGAAGATTCTTAATAAACTTCCTTCTTTCTCTAATTGTTTGAGTATTAAGAAACTTCTAATTAATGAAGAAACAAACAAATAAAAAAGAGTACCAAATTACTTGGGATTTTAAATTGATTTGGTGAATGGATGAATGAATGAAAGGACGAGAGAGAATCCGGAAAATTAAAGTAGCTTTTGTACGGTGATTAATATAGAGAGATAGTAACACACTATATATTTAATATGCTTACTTGGACTTGGATTTGATTCATATATAGGACGTGCTGCAACAAAACGTCAGAGAATAATTTCGGGGTTTCAGAATTAATAGCTACCCTAATAATGTGTCGCCATTTTATTTTTGAGCAGTTGATAATATGAAGCGAATATGTTATGTAAAAAAATTCTGTATAATTGATAATAATATAATCAAGTATATAAAACGAATTTATGAAATGAATTCCTACTGTAAAAATGGGAAAATGAAAATTAATAATCCTAAATTTTTTCAAATTTTCGAGAATGACACTTCTTATGCTCTACTCCATGGAAGTGCTGAGAGTCTATGATTTTCCAAACCAACGTGGCCGTAGAAAGAGCAGCACTTTCCCCCAAAGGATTCAATCACATAGAGGTTGGATCCAGGTTGAGCACACCAGGTCATATGACAATTATCGCCCGGAAGAAGGACGTGATGCAACTTGAGACTAATTAAAAATTTTGTCACTATTTAAAACAAACTAATTGATTTAAATTGATTGTAGATATGCAGTACATAAAAAAATAATTTTAAATTATTTACAATGCACAAATCCCCCGTTTTACCATAAAATGAATTCGTTGTGAGCGACTTGGCGACGCACAAAGTCTCATGAGCCCTCCTTTTTGAATTGGAGATAGATAATCCGAATTGTTCAAACCATTTGAATATTCGAATTTAAGTAAAGATTTTAATTGAAAAAATTTCCCATGGATTTAAACAAATGACGATTCTTATTCTACCCTTTCACTCCCAGACCTTCTATACAATTGGATTCAGATTCATCTACCACATCTGAAACTGTAGCGGCAGTAACACAATCTTCGCCTGTTTTAATTGGTTCTAGCCAACTACAAAAAAAAAGAAGGCGTGAAAGAAAACTAGAATGTGGGAGAGCTAGAAATTATTATAATTTAATAGGTGAATATGATGAGTTTGCAAGTATAAAGTTTGTTCCAATAATCGAAAAGAGAAAATGTTTAAACATAATAATAACTCTACAAATAACATTTCACATCGATTTAATAATAGTTAAAATTTGTTATGAATTTAAATAAAAAAAATGCTTAAATTTAAATTTATATAATTGGTTCGAATCAAATCATTGAACATTCAAAAAAAAAAACTTTTAGACTATGATTTGAATTAGTTTGAACTGGTTCGTACATAAGCTCTAATCGGAAAATTAAGCTATAATGCACCCCATTTCTTTGACTATGTAAGACACCTTCTCAAGATAGTTATATTTCCCATTGGTTTCCTACTTTAATCCAAGAATCTATCCAACTTATCCAACTCAAAATCAAGGGAGATGTTTCATTAATAGGGTTATTGTGATTGAGATCTTTTCTCATTTTTTTTATTTGATTTCTTCTTGAATTACCAACCCACACCTAGGTTTCCAAATATCATTGTACATGTTTGTGGTGATTGTTTCCATTATTATAATAATTTTATATACAGTATGTTGTTTTTTAATGATTTTGGAATTATTCCATTGATTAAACCTGGAAAGGTTCATCATTATATGGATACCAGCAAATGTCTGGTAGTAAGATATTTGTATTATGATCTTTATTGTTATAATGTTTCATTTTTATTTCTTTTATTATTTTTTGATTCTTCTTACATTACCACAAGTGTTGTTACTTGTCTACAGGAAATGTATTTTCTTTTGGGTTTTTTAGTACAGGTAAATTATTATTCATAGTTTTATTTTTGAAAGCTTTGATTTTTTGCTTTCTTGAACTATGTTTCAGGTTGTCTGTTGTAAGATGAAAAGGCAAAGCTTTTCCATGCTCTGTCCCAATCAATGCCATTGATTAACTTTGCATATTTTACAAGTCTGTCTAGTAACAACCACTTACTAAAAACCTTAGCTTGATTAATTAGTTTAATGAAAGAATGTATTGGTTGTTCAATTAAATATTATTAAAATATAATGTAGCTTTAATATCTTTGTTTTGGTGGAGTCAAATTTCATTGTTTGGCTTACAAGCCTTGTTTAGCAGTTAAGCCAGTAGCATTATTAAAAATATTGTTTGGATGTGTCTTAACTTTTTTACACTTCAAATTAATATTTAATCAACTCTTCTATTATGTGCCAGGTGGTACATAAATTAATTAATATATAATAGAAGACTTTCATTAATATTAAAGATGGCCAGCTCATCAATTAATTGTGGCGGTTTGCATCATATGAAAATTGGATTGTGGTAAATCTTTTCCCGAAAATCGTCTTGGTGGCACAGTGCGTTGTGGAGACTAGGTGACTTTGCACGTTAACTCATATGAATTTATCAACCAAAGATGGTTCCAGCTCTTTTTAGATTCGATTTCCAAATTGGTAATTGGGTAAAACACTGGACTGTAATAATAAGGACTGGTCTTTTAAAGACCATCGAAATTCAATTAGAGGAATCGGTGCGCATTAGCCAAATCTGAAAATCAACTGCAGATGATTTCCAAAATTAGACTAGTTTTATGCTAAGGCGCAGGCACTGCTTACACTAACACGTGATAAATTTTACCCCCATTAATATCCTTGTATCACTTTGATGGTCGTTGTCCACTGTATCACTAATTTAGTGTAATCAGTAACTTGTTATATATAAAAATATATTGATATATATATCGAAAAAAGTTTTTCAACTAAACTTTACATTATTGATATGGATGTCCATTCTTTCGAAAGAGTAAAGTTAGTTATTTATTACTATTTTTTCTTTATAAAAAAGAAAATTTTTTAAAATTTTTTCTGTTTTTTTTTCAGAGAAAAATGGGATGTTATTTTTAAAGATCCACTACTTTCATTAACAAGTCTTCGTGAAAAAGCAATCAAAGGAAATGTTTGTTCACAAAGTTTAAGATCCGTTTGCTGGAAAGTATGTCTGAACTTTAAGTTATTATTATTTAATTTTGTGAAAAAACAATTTATAAATTATTATCTTTTTTCAATAGTTATATTTATCTTATTTACCTAGTCCAGACATATCTACTTGGACTCTAACTCTTCATAAGGAACGACAGCATTATGCAGATCTTCGTCAAAAATATATTACCAATCCGAACACAGAGTCTGATAATGATATTATGGATGATTTAACTGTTAACAATCCTTTATCTTTAGACCAAGCTGTATGTGTATCATTAATAATTTAATTTATTGATTAATGATTGATTGATTTATTAGTTCAATTAACTCAATTATTGATTGACATATTAAACACAATTGGTTAGAATCCTTGGCAAGAATATTTTAAAGATACTGAATTAAGAAAAATTATAAAACAAGATGTTGAAAGAACGTTAGTTTATTCATAAAACAACAATAACAACAACAATAATAATAGTAATTTTTTTCCAAATCACATTAACCAAAAACAATTTTTTTTTACAACAAATAGATTCCCTGATAATGAATATTTTCGTACTCCAGAAACTCAAAGCCGTCTTCTTGATATACTTTTTATTTATTGTAAAATGAACACTGATGTTTCATATCGTCAAGGAATGCATGAACTCTTAGCTCCTATTTTATGGGTAGTTGATCATGAAAGTATATCTGGTGCAGACGGATTTGCAATGGAGAACAGTGAAGACTCGATCATTAAACAGACATTGAATTCTGATTATGTGGAACATGACAGTTTTGTATTGTTCTCTGCTCTTATGAAAGCTGCTAAATTATATTATGAATATAATGATGAAATATTTAATCGTAAACTTGTTAAGGTATTATATTTTATTTTTTAAAAAAACCAATGACATTACATATATTTTAATTTAATTTAATTATTATTATAATTAGCGTCCTAATACATCTGAATCAGATAATGCGAGGTTGATTAAAGAAGCTCAAAATGAAGTAATTACTTTCATCTATACATTTAAATAATCTTTGGCTTGTTTTTTTTTTTAAAAAGTTATTCTTTGAATTTTTTTTAATAGGTTGCTAAGCTTACACCTGTTGTGGTTAAATGTAATAAAATATTTAACGAATATCTTAAAACGTTTGATTTTGAATTATACGAACATTTGTCAAATTTGGAAATAGAACCTCAACTTTATGGAATGTAAGTTTTTTGATTTGTATTTGTAGTGTGATAAATACAATTTAGAATATTTTAATTATTTTAATTATAGAATTAATTCATAAACTTTTTATTTATTCGGATGCTCACTTTTTCATAATAGACGATGGATAAGGCTTCTTTTTGGTCGCGAATTTCCATTGAATAAAGTTCTTATTTTATGGGATGGAATGTTTGCTGAAGATCCTACATTAAGAATTGTAGACTTTGTCTGTATAGCTATGATATTACATATTCGTGATGAACGTAAGTTTAATTAACAAATACAGTTGGAAAAAAAAAATCTATTATCGTTATTATAAATTTAACAAAAATAACAAATAATCTCAACATTATATTATTTTCTCTTTCTATCTCTCTCTTTGTGTGTGATAGTGTTAGAATCAGATTTTACAGGATGTTTGAGTATGTTGATGACATATCCACCAATAGATGATGTACAATTATTAGTGCCTCAAGCAATTCATCTTCGTGATCATTTATCACCTGAAGGTGGTGCTTACATCATTTCAGAGAATGCATTAAGAGTTGGTAAGCCTTTACCAGCACCATATCAAGTATATGAACATAGTCGAAGTGAAAGTATTGTTCCAGATGGATTTGTTCATGTTACTAAAAATGTTTTGGAAAGCCGTAGTGCTGCTGTTTTGAATAAAGCTATTTTAACTGCTGTAGGTGAAGTAAAGGTATGCTAATTAATCTATTTATCTATCTATGATTTATTCATATAAAAATACAATAATATCATATTATTAATATATGTATCATAGAAAAATGTTTTACGTCGTTCTGATATACAACAAAATTATGATGGTAGAAAACGTGCTAATACACCAGATTTTTCGCAAATTCCCTCATCATATACAAACCGAAATCATACAAATACAGCAGCACCACCACCACCACCACCACCATCATCAACCACTTCCCAATGATCATGATCTTCCGGTCCATTATGATTATAATTTACATCAAAGTTTTGACTGGAATCTTTTAAAGTTCCATTCAACACATCTCTCATATATTTTAATCGGTCTAATATGGGGGTAAGTGTGACAATTCCGTTTGATGGCGATGGCGATGAGGATGAGGAGGAAGAAGAGGAAGAGTCTTCATTGCTGTTTCCTGAAATATATTCAAATGAAGAACGCGACGTTGAATCATCTGAATTTTTATAAATTTTTTCTACATCTACTATTGTACTACTACTGCTAGTATTATGATCATTACTATTGTTAATGTTGTTATCATTATCATCATTATCGTCGTC